GGTAGAATTGGGAATTAAACAGATCTCTGAATGCAAAGCCCATCCATCTAACCATTGCATTATCCTGCATCCAGAAATTTGTTCAATTCTTTCAGATACCAAAGTGTCTTAAATGTTTCTTTATTAGCACTTACCATAAGCCATCAGATTATGTCCTTAAATACGGAACACCTTGAGAATGAGATCTGTTCTCTTTTATCCCTTTGGTGAACTGCCCAGCCCCCAGCATGATGCCTGGCACAATACACATGCCCCATAATTGTGTGTTGAGGAAGGATTGTTAGTAAGGATATAGAGGCAATATCTAAAAAAAAAATTCTCTACTTTGTGTGCCAGAGCCTCAAAAGCAGTACTTAATTTGAAAGCTGAATGTGGCCTGCAGATGGAATTGATATCTGGGACAAGATATCTTGCCCCTAAATTACATCGTTTGTGTAGCCATCTATTATGTCTATTTCATTTAGATTCCCAAATTAAAAGTAAATTTAAGCAGCACCCTTACCTTATGACTGTTGCTTTGTTTTTGTGTATTGCCAACTATTCTCAACACAGACTGTGATTCAATTAATAAGGATTCAAGAAACCAGTACCCTGTCCTGGGCTCTGTGTTTCCTTGGCCATGTCTTCACAAGAACTGAGGAGCTCATATGACCAAGGAGATATTATCCCCTCCCCCTATGGAGCCCACACTAACCCTTCAAGACTTTGCTATAGATATACCAGTCCCCCAACCCCTTACCCACATAGCTCTAAGCCTGTTTCCAGGATTGTTTTAGACTCTTCCTCACAAGCGTGAGTGTGCCTAGGTGTCTGTAATCTTAGGCCCTAGGGGTTGCCAAGCAGCCGCTGTTTGTTGAATGAGGGAGGGATGGATGGAGCTTAGAAATGCATCCAGGTGGCCAGGCACGGTGGCTCACACCTGTAATTCCAGCACTTTGGGAGGTCAAGGCAGCTGGATTACCTGAGGTCGAGAGTTCAAGAGCAGCCTGACCAACATGGAGAAACCCCTTCTCTACTAAAAATACAAAATTAGCCAGGAGTGGCGGCATATGCCCATAATCCCACCTACTCAGGAGGGTGAAGCAAGAGAATCGCTTGAACCCAGGAGGCAGAGGCTGTGGTGAGCCAAGATCATGCCATTGCACTCCAGCCTGGGTGATAGAGCGGACTCTACCTCAAAAAAAAAAAAGAAAGAAAGAAAGAAATGCATCCAGGCTGGGCGTCCACACCTGTGCATGTGGGGCCTCTCACGGCGAGGGGCAGAGCTGAGGGTGGGAAAGGAAAATGTCAAGTCATATGCCTGTGGTCAGCTCCAAGCCTACCAGCACATCCCAACTCAGGACTTGGAATGGTCCAGGAAGTTTGAATTCAAACCTATACTTCCAAGTCATCATGAAAAGAAGTGTGTTAAGATAGGAAAACAGGACAGATTTTTCAAACTTTGTTAGCTTGATTTATAATTGCTAGATATTTAGCCAAATATTATGGGGTTTACATTTGTACTTTTGCTCCAGATCCTGCTAAGGTTAGCGGCAGGTTTGCAAACAATAATATATTTACTGGTTAAAACCACAGTCATTTCTCTCTTTTCCTAGAAAGAATTAAGAAGTTTAGTAAGAAAGTATTGACACATTAATAAGAAAATGCCTGGTTACATCTGTTTCCTTCTTGATGGTAGATTTAACCAATGTGGATAGGCAGCCTTGCTTGTAAGTCGCCGTAATCACCAACAAATGACTGGGAGGAGGTTTATTTTAAAACTCTACATTTTTGCATGACGGTTTTTTATGCATGACCATATTTATTAGAAAATAAATATCCCCAATGTTATGATTTTTCCTAACAAGATCCATATGCAAAAAGGAGAGAAGGTTAGCAATAGAAAAAAAAGAAATAAGTTTGTCAAAATCTAGATTCCCAAGAAGAAAGCCTCTTTTCATTTATAGCAGAGGGAAGTTTTCACTTTATCATCAGTAGAAATGCTTGTTAGCCAGATTAAAATTTCAGAGACTTGATGGTGGAAAACCCTCGTAAACAGAATGTGCAGCTGTGTTTCCAAACCAGTGAGGAAAAGCCACCTGCCAGTGTAAACTCAGGCTACATTGTTTTAAAGCAGTGCCTGCCTCTCTTATCAGAAATGTGCACGTCAGAGAAGAAAGTGGGGAGGTCTCAGAAGCCCACCTAAGTTCAGCAAATCAAACACCATGTCAGACTGGTTCCCGTTACTAGGATGGACATTGTGAGTTATAATAAATCCAAGGGGTACCTTTGCTTTTTAAGGAAAGGAAAGGAAAGGGAACTGTGGGACTTTGTAGGAAAGGAAACTGCCAGTGAATCCAATCTACACAGAAATCAATTTCACACGGCCATAATTCAAGGAAATGGGGCAGTATGTAATGACGTGGACATTCATTTTGCTTTTTAAAATTCAAACGTTCTTCTTGGCTACTATAATATTTTTGAAAACAGCTTGGACTTCTTTCCCTCTCAACTCCCTCTACAAGCATTTTTGCTGTACATGGGAATCTGTGAAACAGAGCCTCGCACTGTGACTCAGCCCATTGTTTCCTTTAACTTTTCTCACCATGTCGTCCTGCATCATTTCCCTTTCTCAGGACTAAAAAACAGTCACGGAAAAAAATCAATGTTTTAAAACATACACTCAACAAATAGTGGGAAATATACTAAAATGAATTTACTAATTTGGCTTTGACTTTCACTAGTGCATACTTTGAAGTTCATACACAACTCACATTCTAGGACAGAATTGTATTACTTGCATCATAACATAATTAGTACATTCTGTTTCTCTTTCCTCTTCTTGTTGGGCTGGGGAAAGAGGGCTATAACTTTGTTCTAATTTCTACCTCTAATGAAGTATGTTCCTGAGTATTTGTGTATGATATCTGCTATGAAGATAATGTTTTAACACATTTTAAATAACAATGGTAATAATAGCATTAATATATTTAAAAATATGTACAGGACCTGAAGAGATGGAAATTTGTTTATTTGACTCCATAAATTATGACAACTATGACTTTAAGAATGACCAATAAATAATGATGCTCAGGTTAGATTTTTTTTTAATAAAGATACTAATACTGTAATGTCACCTTTTAAAAGAAATTCAGAAGCAAAGACATGGCACTCTAAACCATATGAGGGAAAACAGAGAAAAAGTGTCATATTCTAGTTATCTCTAACAGAAGGACGACATCATGATGGGAAGTAACTATATACAGTTTATATTGGGGAGGAAGAATTGAGTACATTGTATAAAACAAACTCGGAGTGCAGTAATTGAAAAAAGGTATAGAATCTAGCCTCCACCATCGCCAACATGGACTTCAGAAATCAGCAATCTGATCATCTCATCTGCCAAGTGAGGAGGCCAACACTCAAGGGTTGTGGCATCTCAACCAGGTCACACCAAAAGGGCAGGATTTCTTAGATGAAATCTCAAGATTCCAAATAAAAGACCTGTGTCTCTGACTCCCTGCCTTTAATGCTAATAACACCTTCACCCAATATCAATTTTTTTAACAACAAAAACTTAGAGTTAATAACTTTACTAATGATGCTGTGTAGATACCCTTTTTCTTGAGGTAGAGAGTATATAAACATAAAGTAGCATTGAATCTCATTCATTGATCCTGTCACTATTGTGTTTCCAGTATAATGGCAGCATCTTGTAGAAGAAATAAGCATGGACATTGGCACAAGAAAGATCTCACGACTGCCAGTGTACTGGTTTTTTACGCATGACAAAATTACTCCAACTCTCTGAGATTAATTTTTGTCTTGTATACGTCATGATAAATATTGCATGATTCATGAGCCTTTGTGAAAATTAAATTATATGACATAAATGAAAATACCAAGTATTCTGCCTGACACCTAGGAAACACAGAATATAATACCTGATGAAGAAGGATGCAATACCTAAAAATTAGATGGGCATACCATTGAACCCTTTTTTCAAGAAAAAATAAATAACTAGAGATGAATTCGAAGTTGTATGTTGAACAAGTATTTATACTTTAGTAGTGTGATAGACAAAATCAATGAAGTAGGGGCTGAAGAATTCATGAACCAACAAGAACAACAGCAAAAAGAATGGGTGTGAGGGCAGGGCAGTGGCTGCACAGAAGAACAACAGCAAAAAGAATGGGTGTGAGGGCAGGGCAGTGGCTGCACAGAAGAACAACAGCAAAAAGAATGGGTGTGAGGGCAGGGCAGTGGCTGCACAGAGACAATGTCTTTAGCTGAGTTTGAAAAGAAAAAGAATAGGTTGATAGCTAGAGATGACAGTCAAAGATGTTCTAAGAACAGTATGAAAGGCTAGAGCTGAGAAGGAACTGTCATGTACAAAAGACATAGAGCAGGGGTGTCCAATCTTTTGGCTTCTGTGTAACACATTGGAAGAAGAAAAATTGTCTTGGGCCAACATAAAATACACTAACGATAGCTGATGATCTAAAAAACAAAACAGCAAAAAAATCTCATAATGTTTTAAGAAAGTTAACAAATTTGAGCCGCATTCAAAGCCACCCTAGGCCGCATGTGGCCATGGGCCTTGGGTTGGACAAGCTGATAGAGAGCATCATCGGCTGAGAAAAATCCGAGAAAGCTTTGTGAGAAGCAGTAAAATATGGATAAATAAACTGAAGCCCATCAAACAAAGGCCTTGCATGCTCACCTGAGTGGTTTGAGTTTGATATAAAAATAATACATACTAGATTCCACAGTAGAGGAACGATTTAGTGATTTAGTGATCTAGTGATTTAGAAGCAAGCAATCTGGCAATCAAGAGCATGATGGATCATGCTGGAAAAAAAAACTTCAGAGAAGTGGAGAGCATGGATAAAAGCACCTCTAATAATCCCAAAATGAGGTGATGGAGGCCTGAAATGAGACAGTGGTGAGGAGTCCAGCTCCTAGCCAAAAGCGTATAATGATCTTTCAAGCCCGATCACAGACAATTGCGAAGGATTTACCTGGCAGGCTTCACAGGCAAAAGTTGTCCTCCCCACACCAGACTGTGTGCAGCCAGGAAACTGCAATCTCTGAAGGGAGCTGCAGTCAAGGACTCAGTCACTCCATCCTCAGCACCATGCGCTTATGCATATCTGCATCTCCAGCCCTCCCTGCATTCAGAGAGAGGAGGTCTCATCATCGGGGCATTCTGCGGAGGTCTCCTCACTGGGGAGGACACTTGAAGACTCTTTTTTCACTCTGACTCAGTATTCACTGTTTCCCACACCTAGTCCTCCCCTCTCCAGCTCACCCCAATCCCCACCCCTGGGTCCATAAAATGGTCAGAGCCTTTTGTTCAGGCTCCCGTAGGTGGTGAGATAATTCCCCGCCCCGCTCCCCAGTGTGCACTGATACATTGGACCTTCACCCAGTGCCATTCTGTGGAGAAAAAAGGAACATGAAAAGGGTTAAGCTTTTTTCTCTTGCCTATTCTACTACCTTAGAAAGTCATTAAAGGCTTGGCTGTTACTTTCACTTTGGCTTGTTGTCTTAATTGACCACTCCAACCACGGGTATCTCAGCTCTCTCCAGCTCAGCTCAGCTCTTGACAGATGGCAGAGCGAATTTTGAAAAATGTTGAATACAGTAGACACCCTAGTTCTGATCTCCATTCTTGTTTTAAGCAAATCTCCTACACTTTCAGTCCTCAGAACTATAAACTACAGTTGTAAAACGTTTGCAAGAGAAAAACTTATAATATTTAAAAACTAGTTTTAAATTCTTTAAACAAAGACCAGGACAGTGTTTCAATTTCAAATTTATAATATAATATGCAAAAAGTCCACACTTCACGGTCTAGACTAATTTGAATGAAATTTTTGTGTCACCAGCATTTGTAATGTAAATCCAAGAGTTGAGAGATCTTTAAATTATTGCATTTCAAAAACATTACTAGAAAATGATAAACTATAGGGACCTAAAGTCTCACACAACTATGACAATGATTGAATACCTGACAATCTTTAAAAGTAGGGATGTGAGAAAATGGGAAGGAGAGGATTCATTTGCCTCCACTGTACTCATCTCTAACATGAAATATTCAAGTTTATGGAAAAAGCAATGTGTTTATTTTATGGTGCTCTGATACTGTGATAACTACTGTGACTTCTTATGGGAATATTGCTGCATAGCAATTGCCAGAGAAGCTCATCAATCTGTGTTTCTCAAATGTGAGCAGCTCATTAGTACAATCTCCACCCAGGGAACACACAGAGCTCCCTTCTCTGCTTCATCCTGCGATTTCCATCATGTCTCTGGACCATCATTAATATCTGTATTTGTAAAATCCTTCTCTTGTCTCTTTCTTTCTATTATCATTTGATCACTTTGCCCTAAAAGCTGGATAACTGAGTACTCAGTCACTTCTTTTTTTTTTTTCTTTTTTTTTTTTTTTTTTTTGAGATGGAGTCTTGTTCTGTCGCCCAGACTGGAGTGCAGTGGTGCGATCTCCACTCACTGAAACTTCCATCTCCCAGGCTCAAGCGATTCTCCTGCCTCAGCCTCCCGAGTAGCTGGGATTACAGGTGTCTGCCAAAACACCTGACTAATTTTTGTATTTTTGGTAGAGAAGGGGTTTTGCCGTGTTGGCCAGGCTGGTCTGGAACTCCTGACCTCAGGTGGTCCACCTGCCTCAGCCTCCCAAAGTGTTGGGATTACAGGAGTGAGCTACCACACTCTCAGTCACTTCTAAAGGGTACAGTGTGTGAACCAATGACAGACATGAGTATTGCTCTCTTCTTTTACTTTGTAAATTCCTATATATGCATTCCTATATATGCATTGATAATGTAACATTTAAGGTTTTACATTAGTTTTTGAGGAAAAGGCCTAGTATAAAAAGTTTTAAATCTAGTATAGAAACTACCATTAGGTTAGAAAACCAATAGTTTTCTGCATACAAGCTTTACAAAATGATAGCATATTTCCCTTCTCAAATATTAAACTGTACTCTTTTTCTTAAAGTTATTAAATAGTTGTTCAGTATGAAACTGTGTTTCTTCTTTTCCTAGCTTTTCTCTAGTATGGTATCTTTTGTCCTGACAAATAACTATTGTTTAATATACATTCCTCAAAACTAGCTTTTGTATTTAAAAGGTATGTAGATTATATAAGAAGTCAAAAAATCTTCAAAAAATAAAATAAAGAGAAACACGGTAATTTTTATTTCACCTGGTTGCAAATGACCTGTAGACAATGAGGTTCTATCTAAGGGGCAGAAGCAGGTTAAGGTGGGATCCCTGACAAGCATTCTAGCTCTGTGTCCCTCCTTCAGCAAGAGCCACCAGATATGAGCAGAAATTCCTATACTAAAATACAGCACTCAGTCAAACTGTTTCAATGAACTGATTTGAAATATGAGAATCACAAAACAGAAATGAAGAGACATCATCAGTTTTCCCACAGTGAATTGGAGATTTGTTGAGAAAAACTGGTAATACTGTTCCCTTGTAAGGAACATACTCTTTGAGGATAAATCATTAATTCCTATTAAAAGGAGAAAGTAGATTTCAAACGCAAAGATGGTTTGAGAAACATCTAAGGATTCTTTGACTTTTGCATTTACTATATTTTCTTTAAAAAGGTACTCTCTCACTTTTAGGAAAAAAAAAACAACTCAATTTATGAAAAGTAAGCTTGTTTTACCCAGGTTTTATAACATCTGCCCTTACCTGACAAGCCCTGTGCTAGGATCAATGGCTAGATATAATGATTGTTTGTGATTGTAGCAGGAATGATTAAAAAGCACATTGTTTCATGTGCATCTGCATGAATATATACCACACTATATGACATTTTTAAATTCTAAACTATCAGTAAAATCATAACCTTACATTGACATCAAGGAGTGATTTGTCTTCTCATATGCAAGTGCAGATTATTTTACCACAACTGCAAATTTAAATTCTCTGCATGTCTTCTCTGGTTTCTCATTTATTTTCTAGTTACACATTTTGGAAACTGAGATGGAGATTTTTTAAATAATTAAATGAGAAAATAAAAATTCATCATTGTTTGAATGCAAAATGGCTCAAGTCCCTGATAGGTTAATAGGGAGCATTATTATTGTTACACTTCAACAAACATGTCACTTTGACATAACTAAAGGTGATTTCCCTTCAGCTGGTCATAGGCAGGTGAGACTAAATGGAGATTATTTAAAGGGAATGACTGACATCTGCTGGAATACAAAAGAAATGAAGAGAAAGCAATGCAAGCATATAAATGCTCACAGTTAACAGTTTCAGAATACATCAATGTTTACATCCGTAACAGAACAATGTTAGCATAAGTCCTCGAAAACAGATGAATAATGGGGTGTAATGGAAAGTGGTACCCTGTGTAATTCTGTTCTGTTGCACTATGCTGAGTCCTATCAAGACAACTTCACTCTAGAGCAGTTGTACAATCTCTAAAAATAGTGCATTTTTGTTGCCCGTGATTTTTCTACATATTATTGTTGATTTCTATAGTCTGTGGGTTCCTGTCATCTTGACTCTGGCCATGTCTGTGAAATCAGCTAAACGGGCTTGACAAATCTACAACCAAGGAATTACTTAGAATTGATCATTTGGAGGGTTAGAACACAATTTAGTCCCAAAATAGATTCATGCCATCAAATATCGCTGATCTATGCCTTAAATTGGGTTTTAACATAGTTCCCATTTTACAAATGATTTCTTAATGAGGCAATGGGAGAACTATTTATTGAGAGCTTACTAAGTTATTCCATTTAGGATATCCTATAATTTCATGTGGTAGGTGTTTTTAAAACTCCATTTTGTAGATAAGAAGATTTAATGTCAGAGAGGTGCAGGAATGTGCCCAACGTTACACAGATTGTAAGTGACAGAGCTGAAATTCATTACTTCATTGTACCTGATTCCACGGTTGGTGCTTTTCAACCTACAATTGAATTCAAGGTACTTTTGTATTTTCCAGTGCCAACACCATTTTATGCTACTTTTTAACTGTGTACCTTTCTAATGAAAAATGTTGGGGATGGTCCTGAAGAGTATCATAATCTGATCCTGCTTTTGGATATTCTCTTCAAGCAAGTATTTGATAAAGCTCTGTAAATCAGTAAGGGAGTACTCAGCAGAGTCGATGGAACCTATCTTTCCTTTTTTTCTCTAGAACAGTTTAAAAAGCAGTCACAGTCCTCAGTTTCTTCATTAGTACAATGATGAAGATGGACTAGAAAACTCCTAACATATCTTCCAGGGGTGCATTTAGTTAGGAATACAGCAAAGGAAAACAGGTTCGTTCAGTTCCTTATTATTCTGCAATAACACACTAACATAATCAAGACAATTAGCTACATATTGTACTCATCATTCGTTAATTGAAAAAGTGGTTTTTTTTATTTTTGTTTTTGTTTATAATGCCTCATGGAAATTGAAGTGAAAATATGTACTCGAAGGTGGTCTATTTTCACACACAAACACACCTGCTCAAGAGGCTATCTTTCCTGACAGAAACATTTGGAAAAAAAAATATTTTCATGTCATTTTTCTCTTACTGTTTCCATAAACTAAAAATGAAATCCACATTTTGCCTGAAAAAGAAAATGAAGATGATCAGAATTTAAAACACATGCAAAAATTATTTTAAAAACACTGTTTCACAATAAAAGATTATGTCTATGAATTACAATACAATATATCTAATATTGTACCAGATCCTTAAGAAGTTTTCAAATTTCCAAAAGTTGTATTTTTTTAAAAAACTTCCAACATGCATAAACATAGTCTGAATACGGTTTCAAATATTAACATAGATGGTAAAAGTAACACAATATAAATGTCTTCTGTAATTTATCAAATTTCTGCATTAAAATATATAGCAGGTTGAATCTTGAATTCAATAGTACCATCTAGTGGAAATCAACAAAAATGCAGTAGATAATGCTACTTTTGTTTTTTAACAGGCACAACTGCTAGTCTTCCCATTGTCTTGCAATGACTAATCCAGTGGTCAAAGAACTGGTGAGAACCTCTTTGAAATAAGTATTTTCTTGTAACAAAAATGTTATTTGTTTTATTATGTAACACACTTATGGAATATACTAAACAATCTGACTGATTATAAAAATATAAAGTATCTAATCATGAGCTTATTCTTGACAACCAATCTCTCATACAAGACATTTATATACATATATGTGCTTTTACATAAACATATGTAACACATTATATATATATGACGTTATATTTTATATATGACATTTCTGTATGTTTATTGTGCTTTTGGATGCAATTTGCTAGTATTTTTTGAGGATTTTCGCATGTGTATCCATCAAGGGTACAATATATAATTATATATTATATATATACACCAATATATTTTATATATATATAATTTTAAGGAAAAGCAGAGAGTTTATTCAGTGACTTAACTTCCTTAAAGCAAGCCCTTTTGAAATTCTTTTTGCTTTGTAATACATAAAGCAGTAACATAGATGTTTATTATCATTATAAAGCATCATGTACTGTACATAATTTTATTTATATTTAGGAAATACAGGTGCAAGTACCTTACATGCATACATTGCCCTGTGGTGAAGTCTGGGCTCTCGGTGTACCCGTCACCCAAATAGTGAACACTGTACTCAATAGGTAATTTTTCAACTCTTACCCCTCAACCCCTCCCCATGTTTGGAGTCCCCAGTGCCTGTTATATTCATCTGTATGTTTATGTGTGCCCATTGTTTAGTTCCCGCTTATAAGTGAAAACATGCCATTTTTTACTCTCTGTTTCTCAGTCATTTCCCTTAGGATAACGGCCTCCAGCTCCAACTATCCATATTGCTGCAAAAGACATAGTTTCATTCCTTTTTTTGGCTAAGTAGTATTCCATGGTGTATATATATACCACATTTTCTTCATCCATTCCTCCATTGATTGAGACTTAGGTTGATTTCATGTCTTTAATATTGAGAGTAGTGCTGTGACAAATGTATGAGTATATATATATATATATATATATATTTTTTTTTAATACAGTGATTTGTTTTCCTTTAGGTAGAAACCTAGAAGTAGGATTGCTGGACTGAATGATAGCTCTATTTTTAGTTCTTTGAGAACTCTCCATACTGTTTTCCATAGAGGTTGTACTAATTTACATTCCGACCAAGAGCATTTAAGTATTCCCTTTTCTCCTCATCCATGCCAACATCTGCAAGTTTTTGACTTTTTAATAACAGCCATTCTAAGGTAAGATGATATCTCATTGTGGTTTAAATTTGCATTTTTCTGATGATCAGTAATGTTGACAATTTTTTAATATGTTTGTTGGCTGCTTGCATGTCTTTTTTTGAAAAATATCTGTTCATGTCCTTTGCCATTTTTTAGCAGGGTTGTTTTTCTTGTTAATTTGTTTGAATTCCTTATAGATTCTGCAACTTAGTCTTTTTCAGATGCAGACTTTGTAAATATTTCCCTCTTTTCTGTAGGATATCTGTTTACTCTGTTGATTGCTTCTTTTGCTGTACCAAAGCTTTTTAGTTTAAGTCTTCTTTGTTTATTTTTTGTTTTGTTGCATTTGCTTTTGAGGACTTGGTTATAAACTGTGTGTCTAGGCCAATGTGCAGAAGAGTTTTTTCTAAGTTTTATTCTAGACTTGTTATGGTTTTGGTTCTTCCATTTAGGTCTAATCCATTTTGAGTTAATTGTTGTATTTGGTGAGACGTATGAGTCTAGTTGAATCCTTCTACATATGGCTATCCATTGTTCCCAGCACCATTTATGGAATACAATGTCATTTTCCCAGTGTATATTTTAGCAGACTTTGTCAAATATCAGTTGGTTTTAAGTATACAGCTTTATTTCTGAACTCTTCTGTTCCACTGATCTGTGTTTATTTTCATATCAGTACCATGCTGTTTTGGTTACTATAGCCTTATAGTATAGTTTGAAGTCAGGCAATGTGATGCCTAAGCCTTTGTTCTGTTTCCTTAGGATTGCTTTAGTTATTTGAGCACTTTTTTGATTCCATATAAATTTTATGACTCATTTTTCTAATTCTATGAAAAATGATATTCATAATTTGATAGGGATTGCACTGAATCTATAGGTTGCTTTGGGCAATATGGTCATTTTACCAATACTGATTCTTCCAATCCATCAGCATGGGATGTGTTTCCCTTTGGTTGTATCATCTATGATTTCTTTCTTCTGTGTTTTGTAGTTCTCTTTACAAAAATTATTCACCTCCATGGTTAAATATATTCCTTTTTTTTTTTTTTTTTTTGGTATTGTAAATGGGATTGAATTCTTGATTGGGGCCTCAGCTAGATTATTATGGATGTATAGTAATGCTACTAATTTCTGTACATTAACTTTGTATCCTAAAACTTTACTAAATTTGCTTATCAAATCTAAATGTTTTGGTGGAATAGTTTACTACAGATAAGATCATATCACCCATGAAGAGACATAATTTGAATTTCTCTTTTCCAATTTGGATGTCTTTTGTTTTTCTTCTCTTGCCTGATTGCTCTGGTGAGGACTTCCAGTACTACGCTGAATAAGAATGGTGAAAGTGGGCATCCTTGTCTTGTCCCAGTTGTTAGAGGAAAGGCTTTCAACCTTTCCACATTAAGTGTGATGTTGGCTGTAAGCTTGTCATATATGGTCTTTATTATGTTGAGATATGTTCCTTCTATGCCTAGTTTGTGGAGGATTTTTATCATGGAGTAGTGCTGAATTTTATTGAATGCTTATCTTGCATCTACTGAAATGATCACATGATTTTTATCCTTAATTTGGTTTAAGTTGTTTATGTTAAACATCACTGGTTGGGTGCGGTAGCTCACGCCTGTAATCTCAGCATTTTGGGAGGCCAAGGCAAGTGTATCACAAGGTTAGGCGTTCAAGACCAGCTGACCAACATAGTGAAACCTTGTCTCCACTAAAAATACAAAAAATTAGCCAGGCGTGGTGGCAGGCACCTGTAATCCCAGCTACTCAGGCGGCTGAGGCAGGAGAATTGCTTGAACCTGGTAGCCAGAGGTTACAGTGAGCTGAGATCATGCCACTGCACTCCAGTCCATGTGACAGTGTGAAGCTCCGTCTCAAAAAAAAAAAAAAAAAAAAAATCCTTGCATCCCTGGGATAAATCCCAGCTGATCATGATGTGTTATCTTTTGGGGGTGATTTTCGATGTGATTTGCCAGTATTTTATTGAGGATTCCATGCAGTTCCATGGCTAGGCACACTGCTGGTGCTTGGTGGCCACCCAGTGGATTCTCCTTTGGTACTGATTCTTGTGTCTACCACTGGGAGACTTGTAGGCAGGCAGGCCTGCCCAGTTTGGCCCCACCCATACTGGCTCCCCGCTAGGGCTAAGCAAGGAGCTCATATCACTGTGCACTCCATGAATCAACCCATTGCCTGAGACAACAGAAGCTTCTCCCAGTAAACAAGGATCTAGTACGTACCTGGCCACATTGGTCACTGCCAGCTCTCACCCATAAGCCTCAGCTACTGGCTTGTCAGTCAAACTGCACAGTGCAAAATAAAACCTCCCAACTGAAGTGCATAAAGCTATGGAAGCAAAGCCAAAAGATTCTACCAAACATTTGCTACAGTCACACCACCTAGAAATGGGGGAAAAATGAAGGAGAAAAAACAATAATGTTATAGGAAAAGAAAGAAAGAAAAATTCTATCTGCACTAAAATCACAAAAATTAGAAATGCCAGCATCTCCAGATGATAAGGAACCTGTGTAAGATTTCTGATTACCATGAAAGATCTGAATATATTGGCACCACCAAAGGATAACACTAGGTCTCCAGCAATGGTCATTTAACAAAATGGAAATTTAGAAATGACAGATAAAGAATTCAAAGCATGGATTGCAAAGAACCTCAATGAAATCCAAGACAAGGTTGAAAATCAATACAAAGAAACTTCTACAGCAATCCAGGAAATGAAAGAAAATATAAACATCTTAAAAAGAAATCAATCACAGCTTCCAGAATTGAAAACCTCACTTAAGAAACTTCAAAATACAATTAAAAGCTTAATCAATAGACCAGACCAATCAGAAGAAAGAATTTCAGAGTTTGAAGACTGGACTTTTGAACTAACACAGGCAAAAATAAAGAAATTTTTTAAAGAAATGAAAACATACTTCAAGAAATATGGGATTATGTAAAGCAACCAAACCAATGAATTACTGACATTCCTGAGAGAGAATGAGAAAAAGTAAACAATCTGGAAAATTTATTTGAGAGGAGAATTTGAGAAAATTTCCCTAACCTTGCTAGAGAAGTAAATACCAAGATACATAAAACCCAAAGAACACCTGTGAGATACTATACAAAAAGAGCATCACCAAGATGTAAAGTCACCAAACCATCTAAAGTCCATGCGAAAGAACAGGCAGCCAGAGAAAAAGGTCAGATCACATATGATGGGAACCTTATCAGGCTAACTGCAGACTTAAAAACTAGGAGAGATTGGGGGCATATTTTCAGCCTTCTTAAAGAAAAGAAATTCCAACCAAGAATTTAATATCCTGCCAAGGTAAGCTTCACAAGCGAAGGAGAAATAAAATA